ATGTCCATTATGCAAGCTCGGTTTTTGCCCAGTTTTTGCCCAGTTTTCGAACTGAGCTTTGAAGAGGAAGAGAGAATCCAAGATATGTAAGCAATTTTCATCCGCGGTATTTGTCCCTTTGCGTTAAGCCAAGTCCTTCCGTCAGCTTGCCCCACCCCCAGCCGGAGGCACATTGCGCCGTCTCCGTTTACCATGTTATTCACGCATTTGTTCACAAGTTTCTGTTGTGTATCTCACGGTCTTTTTCCTATTACAGGACTGCCCAGCAATGTTACGGCAGTTTTTCCGAGGGCCAGTTCCGATGTCGTTGCTGAGACGGAGCCTTAGCTCAGCTGCACCTGCTACCAGCGCTCCTGTCAGCAAAGAGGTGTCTGATTTGTCGATACAGACTTCCACAGTTGATGATTAATTCAACTTAATCACTTTAGCGGTCGAGTGGTGAATATAAAAGTGTGAAATATTGGTACCTGAGAAAAGGTGGACATGTTTTGGGGTTTGTTGTGGGCCACGATCATAATTTACTTCACCTTGCGATTATGGTTACAGGGGTTCACGGAAAGGGTAAGCTCTTAAGAAAGCTGCTCACCGCTTTGAACGACTGTTTTGAAATCATGCATTCCAAAATGGACGCGAAAAACCCTGGGCAGGTAGAGAATGGTTGGAGATGAGTGGGTCCCTCATTTGTAGTGAAGTTGTAGTAATTCAGGTTACGCCCCTTCCCTTGAGAAGTTCCGGCATCGTTACATTTTGGTCTAGCGGAGTGGAGATGTGGTCTCCTCATCTTGGGAGGAAGAAAGAGTACTTTTTAAGTATTGCCGAAAGATTAGTGCTATCGTGTGCAGAATACAAGTAACCTTAACTAGATCTGTGTAAATGTTTTTCGACATTGGTACAAGTTTATTGGACAAACTTTTCGACCCAATCGCCTTCTTCAAAGCCCATTAAGAAACAGAACTTTAGAAGGCTCTTTTCCAACCTATTTTTCCCAAAAGGATCTGAAAGAACGATATATCCAAGATTACTTATGCCAAGAATTGCACATGGAAGAAGATTGTCTCCAAATAAATTCTGTTCTGCAGCATTTTTTTCGAATGTAGATTTTTAGGCTCTGATGAAGTTGAGGAAGCGAACTGGTTACAGTTACGTGAATTGTCGAAAAGCCTTGGTGAAATTTGGAGCTGACAATCTTACGGAAGCGGAGAAATGGCTTCGAGAACAAGCGCAAAGCGAAGGATGGGCTAAAGCCGCCAAGTAAGTGAAACTATTGCATTTTTTCATTTCCGAATATTTCTAGTCATTCTTAAACAAGCTACAAGAAAAGCTGATCGTGTCAGAGAAACCTCAAATTTCGTTTCATTTCAAGCCATGCATGATTTACACTTCGCTCGCTGCTTACAGCTTTTCTTAGCCCGGGGTTGCATTTCATTGTGATGGTTACTGGGCAAGGTTGCTCAACGTTGATGCTCATCGCTAGTTGGCTCGACTTCCTCCCTGTTCTCACAGTGACTTTTTTTCAATAGCTTTGCTCTTACTTTTTTCAATGCTCTCAATCGTGATAAGTATGTGGCTGGGTTCAGATTCCTCTTCCTTTTCTGCTCTACTTTAGAGGCTTAGTTGGGACTCCGGTGCAAGATACGCAGGTCTTATCAATAAATCTCGTCAAATAACGACCACTCACTCTGTTATGTCCTTATTTCGCTCGCATACTGGAGTGCACTTTGCTACAAATTTAGTTATTGTGATTCATTCCTGACGAAGCTCGGCCTTGTGACTGTGAACTCGGAGCCATTGTGAGTCCAGGGATTTTCCTGTCATTGACTATCGCCGCATTGTTCACAGCTCTTATATGTATCCATCACATCCACTCAAATCTCCATCTGAATCATTATAAAACGCCAGACACAGCAATAAAACTTCTTGTACTCAAAAAGGGGGGGGGGGACGTCCATGTGATCAAAAAAGCTGCTCTCTGTCTTTAACGTATTCCCATCACTGATGTCAATAAAGTCGCGTTTATACGCAGAGAATCCGAAAGGGATTAGATGCCTGGCTGTGTTGTATTATTGCAGATCTTGGCACTCTTTACACGCTTATATTTGCATAGAAAATGTACATCCACTATTGTGACGGGTTTTCCTGTTCTTCTACATATATCCCAAGACGCTAAATGTGAGCTCGGCTCAAGTCGCTTACCAGCGTAAATCACAGTGATTGTTTGAGGTCGATAACATTGTGCTAGGCAAGAGAGTAGGTAACATGTATTTCAGGCTTACACATAATTTTCAACCTAATTCCATTTTTTTACTTGCATGCTCATCGTTTAGGCTCGGTAGCCGTGTAACGACCCAAGGGCTTGTGGGTGTCAAATCAACTGGTGCGATAGCTGCCATCGTCGAGTTGAGTTGTGAAACCGACTTTGTGGCCAGAGGAGAGAACTTCAAGAAACTAGTGAGTTTGACTCTACCAACTGATGGATTGTAGGAAAGAATTTTCCGATTTTTTTCTCTTTCGTGTATATCTTTTTACCCAAAGTGAATTTAAAAACTCTTGAAAGCTTCGGAAATAATCATTCGAAATGCCTTGACAATTTCTCCACAATCTATATTTGTTACCACTGACTACGTCGATGGTTTCACCGCGACATTCCACTCATTGTCATCTACAGCTATAATATAAATAAATTACAGCTCGAGCACCTGGTAGAATCTGTTCTAAACCATGCCCAGAAGCACATTCCAGAAACGTTGCCGAATAAGATTCATTCTGTTGATCTCGGTACGTCGTTCTTGCTCTTTCTCATTAAGGTATCTATTTGGGATTTCATAAATGGTTTTTGTTTGTTTTTAGCCCCAAACCTCCAATCGCTTGTTGATGCGGATGGAGTTTCTTTTTCCGAATTACTCGCAATGGCTGTTGGTAAGCTAGGTGAAAACATCACTGTGCGGAATGTTCGTGCTCTATACGCACCGTCAAGCTCTTCCCTGCACTCAGCAGCCCATCCAAAGGGTACGATTGTTCAAAAAATATGACACTCGTCTATGTTAAAACGGTCGACACTTTGATCACTTGGTTTAAATGTGTTTTTAGAGGGCAGTGCCTCCGTTAGCATGGGCAAATTCGTCTCCGTAGTAGCAATTAAGAGAGCCCAAGCTGAAGGCCTTTTCCCAACAGAAAAGTTGGCAGCACAACTTTGCCAGGTAAGCTTATACATTTTGTTGGTTGTGCTATTATATTATCAGAATACCGCAGAGTTTTCATTTTTTCTTCATTTTTTCTTGCTGCGCATGAGACTCAATTCCTCCAACCAAATTTGTTTTGGTATGGTAAAATGAAGATGGTGGACGTGAGGGTTCCGTACTTGCCAGAGATTTTATAGGTGTAACAAATGTCTCCGCCTAGGTTTATAGTCTTTTGCCATGCTGGAATAATCTTTAATTTTATCGTGTCCGCGCTTTAGATTTTGAGAATCGCCACGTTCATAGATTGATATGTGATATGGCTCCGAACTGGAAAATAATCAGATTATGTGGAGAAGCTCACTAAAATAAACTGTGCAGGATAAACAAGGTGGCGCAAAATTGCTGGTGCACCAACATTTTGGTGACATTTCGGAGCTCGCTTTCAGATATCATTTGTAACTATGGATCCTATTTGTGACAAACATGACATGACAGTCCGAAATTATTAGCGATTTTCAATCTGGTCACCTTCCGCTTTTCCACAGCTTTTTGTTTTACGAAGGCTCTGAATGCGGAGTGCAGATATGTAGTGATTACCTCCATCCTCCGATAAAGGGCTGCTCAAAAACTTCTGGGTAAAGCCAACTTGTATGCCTGATAGCAGGGTATATATCGGTCGAGGATCCCTCAACAGCACGTCAAGGATTTTCGCCTGATGTGTTACGTTCTCCCGCGGATATCCACACTCGCCATGCGCGAGCCGTCTGTGCTCTCCGCATTCTCTCGGCACTACTCTCGCAAAGTACAGAGTCATGGTCGAGAATTTCTTCGACCGTTATCTACTCTGCCTGATAACACTATTCTTATCTGTGCTGAAACAAATCTTGTTGAAAGCACCAACCGTAAGGCCCGTCCGAACTTCGGAAAGGGCAAGCCCTACGTTGTTTACTGGTAACAACGGGGGGTCCGTACCCTGGTTGATTTGTAGATAAAACCGCCCCCCCCCTTAAAAAGCGAAGGCAAGTGATTTATAGGCTAAACTGGGTAGAATTAGGGGTAAAATGTTGAAATTTAGGGAAATTTGGTAAATTTTTATCGTTATAGTAGCTATATATCCCTCCCCCTCCCCACCCCTGCTCGACGGCATTTTTGGAGGAAAAAGTGGGCGGAGTTTGGTGGGTTGAGTGGTACCAGAATTAAATACTATAGAGATGGTGGTCGAGGGTCGAAAAGGGGGTCGTACCAAGTCCACCTTGGGGGAGGGGGTCGTAAAATTTTTCGAAAAAGTAACAACGATAGGACTGACCCTGGTTCAGAAGTGAGAATCGTCATGGAGATCGCTACCGGGATATATTCTGTATCCTGTTTGATTTTAACACATTTTGGCGAAATAGTTTAGGGTTCCTTTGCCTTAGAAACTGCCTGACAACTAACTGGGAAGGCTTGGCAATTTTTCAATTCGCGATAGGACTCCGAAAGTGTACGCTGGAATGTAACCAACCTGGAAAACTTTGATGTTTGATTCGTAAGGTCATGCATATCCTTCCAGTGAGCTAGATTTACATTTTATCCATGTTTAGCTGAACTCGCATAAGTATTGTGTATTTAACTAGGACGAGTTCAGTCCACGTCCTGTCTTTTGCCCAAAGAAGGCACTTTTGTCGTATTTTTTAAAAGACGCGAAACTTCTCTATTCACACAACCTTATTTGTTATTAAGTTTTTAGCTTTATTACACAGTATTATAGCCTCTGCTAGTTCTACTGTTTCACTCGAAATACTGTTTACCGTGGGCCACCACTTGAAAAATAGTCATCAAGTCAGGCTCTTGGACAAAAGGAAGATGGATAGGTGGTAAAAATTCGTCGCTGATATGTCGCGAAACTGTTATAAGGCAGTAAAGTGCATATCGTGCATTTTTTTTGTTGAGAACATAAACCTTTAACACTAGTGCTTGTGTCACAAGAACATGCCTAAAATATTCATCTTTCCAAAAAAAGATGTTTTGATAATTGCCCCGATTTCACAAGTACATTGTTAATTACACAGGATGCATTCAGTGTTTCAGCATGTGATCGGAATGCGGTCAGAAACATTAGGTGAACCGCCACAAGAACAGAAAGTTGAGGAGAAGAAAGTGCAGGCTGAACAGAGTCGTGATGAGTTGAACGATTTCGAGGAAACACAGGTATTTTCTGCTAATCGAAGTACTCTAAAACAGTATTTTTTCAATTTGGGAGCCGCTCTTTCTAACTCCCTTTTTAAAAATGTCTAAGTATAATAATTGATGATAACTAAAGTCTAGTCAACTTCATTCAACACAGATAAGTGCGCAAAGCGAACGCAGTAATTCACCCTGTTATCTTATGGTTATGCAGTCGTTCATATAAGAAACCCCATTATTTCAAATTTTTACCTTTTGCCGTCATTCCTGTTTACTGGTTTGGTTTTCAGCAGGTTCACCCCTTCATGATTCTCCTGAAGTGGAACGGTATCAGCAGTTTGAATAGTAAGTAATCTTAGGTCCAAAAAAATCTTCGTCGCTGATGTTGCGTTAAAAATGAATCATTGTCCACAATTCTACCCAACATCATCTGCAATCCGTTTTCAGTCACGAGTACCTTAAAAGAGTTTGAAAGACAATTCAGTTTTTGATACGATCAAGAAGACATTAATTTCTAGTATTCAAAATTTTTCTTATTACTAGCAGAGACGGAACAAACGAGAGTTTCGTTCGACGGTGCCACGCAACCGCTCTTACATAACATAAAACAGGCCTCGCAGGGGCACAGCCACTTTTGACTATCTTAAACTAAAAAAGTTTACATTCCCGCCGCACTCCACATATCGGTGGTTACTCGTGCCCTGATAAACTCTTATGCCATAAATATCTCCACATGGAGCAAGATCGCTTGCTAAGTCTAACGAACTGCGGTCGCCCTACCAATGCAATTGCCTAATTTGTCAAAACTACCGCCTATAAACAGTTGGATTGACGTACCTCCAAATGGCCCACACCATCACGAACTAGATCACATTTAAGAGCTATGACAGTCGTCGCAGTCGTCCCTTCTTTCAATACAGGGAGCGACTACCGTCTGTTACAAGGGTGATTCCACTTCGATCAGGGTCTATTGCGATTGATCCGCTTATGCTCAAGACTATCGCGCCCCACAAGTTTTGGATGGAAGACTCGGTCGTGAGACTCGCAAAAAAGTAAAGTTGCTTTGGAGTTGGATAAATTAATGTCGACCACGGAATTCTTGTCAAAACTGTGGCACGGATTGCAAAACAGCTGCCGCAGTGTTGCTCCGAATCAGGATGCTCATCACATTTCTGCTTCAACCCGTGCCTTGCTTGGGAAGCGCAGGAATACGGATTGAGCTGAAAATCACGTGGAATACACACTACTAGGTAGCTGTGTAGGAGCTTTCAATTTCACGAGATCCGGGCTTTTATGCGAAGCAAAAAGCAAAGATAGCTTGAAAGACACGAAGAACTTGCTCACAATTTCCAGTTGAAGAACCATGATGGAATCGACCGCTAGTCCTTCTATATAGAATGGATGCCGAATTCTGGCACTTTTGCTACTTGCGCGCTTTGGCGTCATGCAATACTGAAAGTGTTGCGAATCAAAGCTCCGGATAAGGACGGCATCACTATAGAGATTCTCCAAGCGTCTGGGTCGCCTTTCTATCGAGGGTTCGCTAAGACCGACGGTCATAGTCGGCGACGGACCAGTGTCCGTCGCTTGCCAATCGCTCTCGGTCGAGCGATTGGCACGCGATTGCGCAATCGCTTGCAAAGTGCACAAGCGACGGGCGATTGGCCCCGCCCCCAGTCGATGCAGTCGGCTGCGGTATCGATCGAGCAGAGCCATCGGCCGTCGCTTGTGCACTTTGCACAATCGCTTGCCAATCGCTCGACCAAGAGCGATTGGCAAGCGACGGTCAAGCGATGGAGCGATCGCGATACGCCGACTAGACGTCGTTTCTCAAAGGACACACGTTACCCTCGCCGAATGCGAAGTTCCAAGTGCATGGAAACAATCATCGACGGTGCTGTTGTTCAAGAAAGGCGATCAAGGAAGACCTAACGAATTATCGCCCCATCACTCTGTTGCCAGTGTTTACAAAGTATTACTCGCTGTATACTGGCACGTATTCGAAGTGTTTTGGAAGAAGCTCAGCCGATAGAGCAAGCAGGCTTCCGTCGAAACTTCAGCACGCTCGAGCACATCGCAACTTGCCGACGTCGAATCGAAGTATCCGTGAACATCACTGCCTCTGTGCTGACCTTCATAGACTACAAGAAGGCGTTTCGATTCTGTAGAACCGAAGGTCTGGGAGGCGCTAGAAGCTCAAGGTGTTGACGAAGGTTATGTGGACGTGCTACGGGAATGCTATTGTCATTGTACAACAGTATTCCGCCCTTTGTTCGACGACGTAGTCGTAGCAGTCGAAAAGGGTGTACGAAAGGGAGATCCGATATCACCCATTCTATTCTCCGCTGTTCTGCGCCTCTGTAATTGGAGCGACTTCGTTGGCAACATCGATAGTGTGCGCCGTCACCTCCGATTCGCCAGCGACATGTTCTTTATCCCAAAATCTCCAAGGCACGCCTCCGAAATGCTTTGTAATGAGAAGGAAGTCACTGCAGTCCAATCAAACACTTCAAAAATGAAGGTCATGCGGAATCGATTATCGCACAACACACCTGTTTTCGAAATTCCCATCGAAGATGTCGACGAATATGTATTCCTCGGTAGCCAACTGAATATGATGAACGTCTTGACCGGAGAATCAGACGCCGCAAGGGCTGGATGGGCTGCCTTCAACCCCGTAAGAAACGTTACCAAGGATACCAAGGATCGCAACTTGCGAGCAGAACTCTTCAATTCGACGGTACTACCTGCTGTTATTGTGAATTGTGCAGGAGAGACCTAGGCTGTGACGAAATCAATGGAAAGGCAACTGAACCCACTCAACATCGTCTTATGGGCCTCACGTCGAGTTGACAACGGGAATGCAGCCGCATGACTCTGATGTTAGAGCTTTGTCAAGAATCAAAGACGTCCGCCCTTCACAACGATGAAGCGAAACAGGTTTGTCGGACTCTTGATGAGAAGAAATGACGGACGATGGGCATCGCTACTGTGCGGTGGTACACGCGTGTGAAAAGAAGCGGAATACTGGCCGTCTCTGTACGTTAAGACAGACTTACTGGGCCGTGACTGTCGTAACAATTATGATGACTGTATCCTGAGATAAACGAAGTATAATTTGTTTTTTTGCGTGGGTGCCAACTAAATGCTTATTTTCTAGCTTGTCTGGTGTCTTATCATGAGTTTGGAGATGGGCGACTATTCTTGCAGCCAGAGTAAGGTGGGGTAGGGTACAGCCACTTGCATATGTATAAACATAATTCAGCTTTTACCGACAGAGGTAGGCGCATTTCCAAAGTGTCCACCCTCCCTTGTTTTAGGGTTAGAGTTTCTTCTATTCGTGAAATAAACCGGCAACATGAAAATATTTATTAATACAATCTAAGCTATATAATTCTAAATCGAAGCGAGAGTATCCTCGCGAAATAATTCTTTCCAAGAGTATGGATATGTACGTAAGTAGAGGCACAATGTGGACTCAAGAGGTCGCATCTCGCGGACGTGACCCTCTTGCGTTTTTTCTGTGTAGGCTTTCTGTAAGTTAGGGGCTAAGCTCAGGCATGGTCGAGACGACTCCAGTATATAGCATTTTCATGTTCCAAAGTTCCCTGGCACTATGGCACTTAGTAATACGGCGCTTGCGGTATGAGCAGGCATGCAGCCGTGAGCGACTGTGTCCTTGAGCCACATTTTGCCGCAGTCGAGTGTACTGTCCGGCCGTCGTGGTCGTCTTTTCCGACCAACTTTTGCCTCTTCACATAGCTCTGTGATTTTGAATAAAGTTTAAAATGCGTGGTGCACCCACAAAAGATTTTTCAACATAGAGTGCTGTTCTTTTTTCTGGCTCGCATCAAAAGGCGATTCGTCTTCGATAATGGATAAGACGATGGATGTGTAAGAAAAATGCCCTAATTTTATAAATCAAATTAAATTCAAGGGGCGGGCTTGATTTCGGAGTTAGTATGACTTCCGTTTCATTTCGTGTCGACAGGGGTTTGTGAAATTCCGTTGAAACAATTTATAAAGGCTGACAAACATTCCATAAACATGCGCTGCGACCAAATGTGCGAGAATGAGCCTGCACCCCTTCCTACATTTTTTTCATAAGGTCTAAAGTATGTACATTTCAGACGACGTCTATAGACGAGGACGAGACGGCGCTTTTGCGACAGGCTTTCATGCTGAATCCGTCTCAAACCGTGTATGACTACGTGAAGGGCCACCAGGCGGAAATTGTGGATTTCGTTCGCAGTGAGCTGGGGGAAGCAGCGGAATAATTTCCTTTCTCGCCGCACCTTTTTTTCTTTCGGCTGTGTTGATGCCGTCCGAATGGCTTCGCTCGTATGATGATTAGATTCTCAGAATTAGATTTATTTATTCAGATTTTAGTCAGAATTCAATTGTTATTCCACATTTCTGCAGTAGTTCCTACTATATGTGCATTATAGAATTGTTGTTTTATTTGTATCGTTGAATTTTGTTGATTTTGTTTCGAAATTTTGGCTCTCTGCTTTGAATCAGAAATACAGTCTCTTTCATGACGTTGTGTTTCAAAAAACGTTTGGATTTGCTTTCATCCGTAAATGTTTATGAGTGAGTGCTCACACGAGGTGAAGTTGAGCCCGTTCCCAGAGGGAGGAGGAACACACTGACAGCGGTTCCATATTGATTCAGGCGGCTACCACTCAGACTTCCATTTTGCTTCACTGTCGTGTCGGTTAACCACAGCGCTGCTCTGAACGCAGCCCTTACTTACCCCAGACGTTTTGGTATATCAAATTCCAAAACAATGTCCTTTATTAGGCTCCAATTATTTCCCAGAGTTCGGTCCATGGAGGAGTTCGTTAGGCATTGCAGAGGTCTAGGGATTTCCTCATCGTGTTCGGATCGCTTAGTGTCGATTGGCTGCTAACCTTTGTGAGAGCCCGATTATAGGGCGTAAAAAGCTGAGGGGAGAGGGTCGACCTTTCCTTGCCATCGTGCTATAGGCAGTCGTGCTTGTATTTTTTGGGAGGTCAGGATCTCTGGTGTGGAATTTGAAAGATTGTATAAACTGAATGCATCAAAAGTACCACTACGATTTCAAAATGGAGGTGGAGTGCGTGGCGCATCCCAGGCAAAGATCAATCAATGCCAGATTTTCGATACTTTACATTTTATGTTGCCCCTCCACTTCTAATAAATTTTTTAGAAAGTGAAGGTGGGGCTGGGTAATTTTGTGGGAGTAGGAATTTGTGGGAGTACTATCAAATGAGGGGCTGGGCCGAATGGAGGTTCTATGAAAACCGCCAAATCACAACTTTTCCTCGAAGTGCTACTGTTCCGAGCAGCGATCATTTATAGGATTATTGATATCGATAAACTAATAAAATCCAACCTCCATTATAGCGAGAACTGGCCGATTTCTTCACTTCCTCTATGACGTGATCCCAATTTGACGTCGAGCTTGCACTGCATGAGAATTGAGACCTTTTTTCGATTCTTCGAAGCCCATTAACCAATGCTGCTATTCGGGTGAATGTGTGAATCCATCTCTAATGTCGTGCTGTTGTTGTATACTAACCGCTGCCGTACCCATGAGTTTGGGGTGGCATCCCGACTTCGATTGGCATCCCGAGTTCGATTCGCTTAATTCAATTAGGCCTTTCATGCCTCAGGACTTGTCAGTTGGTACTTGAAGGTCCTCTTTTAAGAATGAAATCCCTGATTTGTACGCCATTTAGCCCGCAAATCAGTGAGTAGGCCGAATAGGTATCCTTAAGCTACTGCGATCGGAAGTTGAATGCATGTGACGCACTCCGAAAACAGAGCGCCTAGCGAAGACATTTTCATCACATCTGAGTATAGATCATGATTTGAATTTGTTTATACTTGTTTATTAATTGAGATTCTAAGGACTTCTTATTACCCACAGCCTCAATTCGTAAGAAATTATCCCCGATGCCTCAAAAACTAAAGGCAGTGTTGACGATGCCTGACAGGCAATACAGTTTTGATGACGTCTTTGAAGGTGGGCTGGCCCTTCAGTGCGCTGGAGGGGCGTGGTTTGGACCATTTTCAATCCTTTACACCAAATGGCGTTTAACGACACAAACCGGTTACCGCCCATTCAGCCGTCAGTGCTCACGCCTTTAAGTCACTTGTACTGAAGGGAATTCGAATGCCGGAACTGAGTCAGTGCGAGATTTCTCAGCGTCTCAGTGGAGACTTTCGATTTACCATAATATCCAGACCTGCACTTTCTGCACGGGCCAAGGAAGTTGCTCGTAAACACGGCAATTAAGCTGAACGCTCCGTCCATTGGTAGGCAAAAGTCATGGCTAGGAAGACACGATAGTTGAGGAAACACCAAGGGCCGCATTTGCCTCCTCAGGAAAGGGGATCATATGGCAAAGAACAGGTTCGACAGTATCGGTCTTTCTGGGTAACGCGGGGAAGGGGGTGAGGGGTTGAAAGCATTCTACTAGAGTTTCAAGTGTGGTTATTACTGCACATAGCCCCTTCGACATATTGCGAGGTAAGTGGAAGGTGTAACCCGGTAAAAGCTGGGGTAATGGGGCTTAGTCCTGTGTATTAAGGGTGCGGGGTAAGAGTGAAGCGGGGACTACGCAACAAAAGTTTGAAAATGTATTGCCAGAGTGACTCCCACTCGCTTGCTCACAAATATTTACCCCCCCCCCTCTTTCCCCATTGCCCCCCCCTCGTCATTGGTCGCCGTCAGTCTAGTGTTCGTTGTTATGTTGGCACAGTTCCATCTTCACGATCCCCTTCCCCCTTTGAAAAAGATGCTGAAGGTACCAGTACATATCTACTAAAATTGTATGTTCTCGCCAATCCCAATCCCTGCTCCTCCATCTCTCCCACCTATGACTCCCCCCCCCCCAACTCTGATTACCGAACTCTTCTAAATTCGCAAACTCGCACTTTTCTATCGAGGACTATCGACGTTGCCGCACTCTAGGCGATCCGGTACTGTGTTGGTCTGCCTTACCCTCTACATTACCCTCCACTTTTGCTCCCCTTGTGAAGGCGTGAAGTAATGTGCCAGGCGGCGGCAGGCGCTAAAAACCGTCGTAATTGTCCACTTACCCTGCTCACTGTGTTGAAAAAATGCCTACGTCAGTGACATGAGTCATTTTGACGACGTCGAGGCATCAGCTGTCCCCTTAGTGTACTCCTAGGAAAACCCGTTCACTAGTCATAATTCATTTCTGCTCTTTGGTGCTTCGTTTGGAATGTAATTGTGTCTTTTATGGCGCTGAACTCCTTCTCTCGAAACTTCCACAGAGTGTTGAGAAATCCTCATTTCCTTCATGTAATACCCTGAAAATTGTGCTGCCATGGAAATAACTTCGAAGCGTGGGATGATTGTTGTGGACGGGTTCCAAATTGTTGACTCCCGTGGCCCTAGCTATGGTACGGTGAGCATGAGGGTTAGTCAAGGTCGAGGACTCTCCGATAGGAGTCATATTTGGATTAGGGAGGGGTCGCATTGAATGGGTCTGGCGATCTGTTTGGGAGTGTAGCAAGTTTTTAGGTTTTGGGATTTGGGTTTATGGAGATTTTTCGTAAAACGCACCCTCTCCTCTCCACTTCGCCTCTTGGGACAATAGAAAAATGGGAAGAGATTTTTGAATTTTTCCAGAAAACAAGGTCCGTTATTATTTGCGGCGTGTTGCAATTGCAGACTCAACAGACTCAACACCACGCGTGGAAATTTCCTTGGGAAGGAGTCGTGCATACACTCTCGTTCGACGGCCTGCTTTGGGATGGATACCTATATGAAGAATGCGTGCGTAGGGGTCGCCTCTGGGAGGGGCAAGGGTTGTTAGTACGCGTTCCTAAAATTGCTCAATGGAATGGTTGACGCTGCGGTGCGTAACTTTTCCTGAAATCGCCAGAATCGGAACTTATTGGAGCCAATAAGTCCTTCTGGAACTTTCAAGGGTTCCATTTTTCATTTCTTATGTTGTCGTTTTGGTGAACGAAGAGAAAAGCGATGGATCCTTCGTTTTGGACGGCTGTTTTCTTATGGGCAACAAATTTGTTGCGAAAGTATATAAATATATTGCTGTGGGCAAACTGCTCAGCCAAACGCCCTTACTGCATATAACAAACTCGTGTCCCAAAATCCCGTGAAACCTCTTTGGACAATGTTCTAGATAGCGAAAGGAGATCAAAACTCTGACAGGAATGAGATGCCATGAAGGCAAAGTGCTATAGACAGTGTGCTCACACATATTAGTTTGCAGGAATTTTTTCTGATTAATTAACTGAATAGATTGTACGTTTATGCTCATGATATTTAAGCGAGGTCGTGCCACACACGCTCGGACTTTAGGGGGGGAGGTCTGCCGACCAAGTTCTATGACAGATGGGTCATTGCCTGGTTGTGAGCGGCCATCTCCACTAGAGTTCGCCCGTAAGCAGGCCGTCAAATTCCGTACGTTTGGGTACAAGGGAGCAAGGGGGTGGGGGGGGGGGGGTCGTATTTTGATGAGTTTGTAGAGGGGGGGGGTCGTACTTGCTTCGATTGTAAGAAGTTGCATGAGATGAGTGAGGAGTGGCGCGGGAGAAAATTTGCCGTTTCAGCGCGCGTATATACTCCCCCTAGAAAATGAAAGCGTGGGATTAATTTTAGGTAGAAGGGGGGGGGGGATAATTGGTCGGGAATTGGTGGAAATTTAGGGAATTTAGGTAATTTTTACGGTTTCAGAAGTGACTATATCCACCCCCCGCTCGACGGCATTTTTGGAGGAAAAAGTGGGCGGAGTTTTCGTGGTCGAGTGATACCAAGAATTAATACACTATTAGCGAGGAATATGGTGGTCGAGGTCGAGAAAGGGGGTCGTACCAAATCCACCTTTGGGGAGGGGGGTCGTAAAAATTTTTTCGAAAAGTAGCAACGATAGGACCGACCCTGCCCGTAAGTCCGTCCACATAAAAAGTCCTTCGCAGGATTTTTAGCCACCCCGCACTCGTATACCATGATGGCCATGATACTGCTTCGTCGGTTCTTCACCGCCCTAGTTATCAAAGGTTGTTTCGGCCAAAAGTCCTGGCTTCTTACGATTTTTGAATGGCGGCATCATTGAGGGGTTTTGCGACCGCGCCTTTCAAATTCGTGACTTCCCCATGCATCAACGGGTCGCGCTCTTTTTGCGGGTTGATTTGCGTTATTTGGAGGCTCAATGGAATACTCGGAACTGTTACTCCCTTAGTTGTACACGATGCAATTAATTTCCGTGACAGGTTAGAGCGTAATATTGTGCGGCACGAGTGTGTTTCCAATAAGGAAGTGTTTTGCTTTTCAGTGGGTCCAACTTCTCTTCACGAGCCCCATCGGAAAGAGCAACACACTACAGGAATGATCGTTAATGTGTGCGCGTCAAGCATTACCAGGGAACCGGTTCGTTTCCTTTCAGAGTCTTGTTTTTTGCTTCTTTGTATTGATTGAATAATTTTTAAATAAGTATCTGTACAACCTATTTTGATAATTTGGGAAGAAATGGAGCAGTGGCTGATACGGTTGGTGCTCTGGCGTTGGGATCCTTAGATTGGACCGCCATTCTGTTCCACCCAGGCCAACCAAGCTTCACACTTCTCTAAAGAGCGATATTTGGTACAGATTGCTAGGTAGATAAGAAGATTGGCCAGTAAGTACATTGACCGACTCTTGTGATTCATTGCCTTGCCGAATTACGCATTCATAATACCGTTCGGCATGCCGAGTAGGGGATCGAGAAGCGTGTGGCGCAGGCCCGAAATGTTTGCAAAGCTGACAACACCTTCTTTCATCGGGTTTGTTATGAGGGTAAAGAACCAATTCTTACGCACTTAGGAACATTCTTGAGATGCGCCATGTGTTTCACTCCCGATACGAATGGTGAAGCGAAAGTGGAAGGTTTACCGGGTTCGGAATATGACTGCAGGAACCAACCGATGTGGCAATAGACGAGAAATGCGAGAGTGGGTTTAGGCTTCTGGGACACGCACAATTGTTCATTTGGTGGATTCGCTCTGACCATTTTTTCCTAGTGAAACCGGGTCCAAGGTAATCCATCATCTATTCTACCTAGTATATATAGCAGCTCAGTTAACGTGTGCATCCAGATAGCATCGGAACGGTTCGTGAAGGGGACAAGTGGTGCGGCCGCTTTTAGCGCAAGTCCGACGGAAGCTATTTGCGGAAGGAATTTTCCAGAGGTAATCCATCCCTGAGGGTTAATTGGTACCAGACTTCGTCGTGGAGGGTGAAAAACTGACTTGCATATCGGCTGGCCCCAAGTTATTGTATAGGCCACACCACATTCAATGCTACTACGATTTTGAAGGTGAGTAGAATATGTGGCGCATCCCAAAAAGGATTATCCAAGGCTGAAAGCTCCATCATTCAGCTTTACCCAATAGTATGTAGTTTAGCACCTCACCATGATGGGGTAAATTTCACCTCCATCTGATCTGTTAGGTACCATGAGGACGCGACATAGCGAAAACCCGTATCTCGCCGCGCGCGGACGTTTGAATGGAACCGTTTATTCCGGGTGTCCCCCAAGAGGCCCGTCGCGCGGAAGAGACGCAGATGCGGCAAAGGACGAGTCGCAGCGCGTGCTGTGCGATATGAGACGTAGTATGGTACACTCTATTTAACCTGACGCCTAACCGCTACAGTATGCGCTGCGACTCGTCCTTTGCCGCGTCTGCGTCTCTTCCTTCGCCGCGCGACGGGCCTCTTGGGGGACACCCGTTTACTCCCTGTCCTGAAAGCGCAATGTGCCCGCAGCATGCTGGAAATCGGTGCGACGACGCAGTGTGACCTAACGACACACATCCAGCTCGATCTCACTGTCAATCAGATCAGTCGTGCGGCCATTTCAACATATTTATTATTACGAACACTAAAAAAATACTGGGTGTGAAATGGACAAAAATTAAAACAGTATTTGCACCAAATTTCTCATTTCAGGCAAAGCAATACTCCAACTATTATTACTATCCAAGTAGATCCGAGAGAAAAACAAGCAAACAACCACCAGAGAATAAGAATTCGTCAAGGGAGAAGGCCGGCAAGCCGCCATCCGTAAAGGTGCCTCTTAGCTTCAGGTTTTTAGTTCCGCTGCGATCAGAGATGACGCCATTTTCTCATTTTTGCTGACGAAATTCAGCGGCTCCAAAAACAGAAGTGATTTCAGGCCAGAGCAAAGAAATTCCTGCTGAAAATTCGACATCTGATTGCTAGAAAAATCGCAAAGGCCTCTTTGAAGAAGTGATTTGGACTTCTTCTGTGATCTCTGCTTCCTTTTCGGAACTCTGTGTGCAGCATTTCCTCTACGGCTAGACTCCTTGTTTTTGTTCCTCTGCTGGAAGCTAAGAATAAATCTCTGAAAATCGTATCTGTTTGGAAACCTGGATCTTTTGAGGTACAAAAACTGAAACTGAATATTGGCGTACCGCGACCGCGCGCCCGTCTCCTATTCGTGCTGCTTGAGTCTTTCCTATAACCTCCAACAGATTCATCTAAAAATGCTCCAATTCGTCTATATTCTGCTGCCACTGGAACACACCAGGGACGTTATCGAAGTTCGAATCTTCAGTTATGCATCGCGTGCATTCATTGTAGGGTTAGGTGGTTAGGTCACGGTACGACGTCGCGAGTGGTTGCGGCGTGCCGCGCGCGACACACCTGCTTGGTGCCTTCGCTTCAAAAGCAAGCTTCGGGATTAAATG